CCTTGTATTAAACGTATTAAATTTCCTTCTCTTTCGTTTCTTAGAGGAGCTTCCCAATTTTTTCTGGCCGGGTACCAGGTTGGGTTTCCAACATGACTGATTTTAAATGGAAACAGCTAGCACGAACATATAGGCCACTTTCAAGAGAGTGTCTTCTAAGGATATTAAACCCAACTGAAAGGTTAAGAGTTATATCGTATCACGAGTCAAGTTGGGTTGGAAAATACATGATGATTGTAGCTGTCAAAAGAGCAAAACAAAACAGAAGAAAATCAAACCCGTCCATTTAACCTCATTGTTTACCTTTTTATTCAGTTGACACAGATTCATATTTCGGCTCCTTCACCAAAGACACATGACTTCCCGCATAATGAATTGTTACAGAAATGTCACCAGGCAAGCAAAGCGTTTCAAATGCCGTATTGTCCATGATCCCGTCGAAAACCACTGCTGATACCACGAAGAGATGGAGTCGCGTTTATTTTCAACTTGTTTAAAATTCGTGTTCATACATGCGACACAGCGTATATCATGATTTGTGTATTCTACACATCATGTCTCTACAGCTATGCGATGCTTCGAAAACCTTTATCCGATATAAATGCCATATATTAGGAGAAAAACTTGAAGAGTTTGACATGATCATCCTGGCAAAACAAACATCTTACAGAGAAATAATATCTGCTCTTCACAATTTTGGACGCGGGGAGAATGGGTTATCCTGTAGTGATCCCTGCCCTTGTGGATGTAACAAGATGGCGGTCGGGTGCAAGAAATGCTTAGGCGTTTTTTATCTTCCGAGTTAGACTTGACGGTTTGTAATTGAAATGGAACTTCTATCACAGGTGTGTGTAATTAAAAGAAGTCAGGAATCTGTAAGAACATCTCGTAGATTCCTAGAGATTTTTACTTCTTTGAACGCAGACTCAAAACAGTATAGAATCGGCCCTCGCAAACGGCTCTTAGCGGTTTTTTAAGTCTAAAACTAAGTGCATCCCTGGTGTGTCATTTTGACATGGAAATCAAACCCATAAATTAAATAAAAAAAACATTGAGGAAAAATTAGAGTTGAATCAAACTTCACTCGTGACTTGAAGTTGATTTGGACTCGAATTTCAAATATGGTGTCGGGGAGAGAGGTTACCAGAACTTTCGAGAACTAATTTTCAAATATGGTGTCGGGGAGAGAGGTTACCAGAACTTTCGAGAACTAATTTCTTACATTTTTATGTCAGGTTTTAAAAGTCTTATCACTTTTTCCAATCCCCCTCCCCCCACCGAAGAATCCATAATTATTAACCACTAATGGATGAAGGAGGTAAGTTTCCAGAGAAAGTATGATGCTGCATCAGTAAAGGTATTACAAGATAATTTGGTTTTATCGCCAGAGTTGATAATGTTACGGCCACCCGGTAAAGATTCTCTAAAATGACGCTTCGAGCGTCAGTCCTTCGTCAGAACCAACAGCGAAAGGTTAAAGCTCAAATAGTCAGCTTTAGGGAATCTTTTCCGTGGCCACTTTACATTATGAACTCAGGAGATGAAAAGGAATCAAATTATCCGTTGAGCTGCAAAACTTTCCCGTATCTTCGCAGTGCATCCAGTCGATTAAGACAGATGCGCTTTCAGTTTTGCTTTGTTGTGTTTTGCCTCTTGAAAAGATCATGGCCATATTTTATCTAGTTTAGCCTCAATAGGGTAGCACCTGAAGTGTTCTTTTTTGGAGCAAGTTTGGAGTGGCAGTTAGGTTGAAGCGACCACGGCGGTGAAATAAAGGTGCTCCCCTCTCCAAGGTAAATGAAATAACCTTTCATGCATCTATTAAAAAAAATTGCGTGGGCCAGAATTCTACTAGTACTGTAAACAACCGTTTGCAAGTAGATTAGTAATATTTACCGTCGCTGCTTCGTAACAAATTGCCTTTTTTGAACACTCATTATAATTCAAAATTGCTATTGGAAATAGAGAGTTCATTTCATCCACTTTGTCAATAGAAATTGAACATTATCCCTTCGCTGTCCATCTGATATGTCGTTCTTAGCATAGATAACCACGTCAATGCTCTTTTCGGAGCTCACGCAAAGAAGTCCACACATCTCTATCTCAGTTTCAAAACTGCTTAATTCATGATGTCCATCTATTCTTCTAAATTGAAAAGGAAATGTGACATTTCAAGCTATATTGGTTAAAAAAACGACTCGTTTGTCGCAATAAGCAATGGTACTTAAGCAAATATAATAACGTGAAAAGATCTGTCTAAAACACCTGAGTACGCTAAATGACTACTTAGCTGTCATTCGCGGCATCCGAAGTAGACAACTGTCAAATTCAATGAAAGAGATTTCTTTTAACTAAAAACTTTCTGAGATAGCCAGTCAATTTGTGTCAACTTATCTGTCGGGTTTTTTATTTAATTTCTGAATCATTGAAGCTGGAAACTAAACAAGTGATTTCTTTTTTCAACACGATCTAAGGTAGTATGGAGAAGTGGATCCATTTTGGAGACAAAAAAGCACGAAAAGGGATCCATGTCTGATCAGGATTTATCGACAAAGAAGTATTCCAATGGTTCAAGCATCCGAAATGTGCGGTGAAAACCTTGACTACTCATCCAATTTATTGCCAGTTTGTATTTTAAATGCGATTTTAGGCGCAGTGACAATTTTCGGTAACTCAATGATACTCTTGGCAATTTTCAAGACTCCTGGCCTACGAACAAACTCCAACTTTTTCATTGCATCGCTTGCCGTTGCTGATTTTTCTGTCGGTTTAGTTATGAGCCCGTTGTACGCTGTTAAAGCTGGGATGGCTGTAGATGAAAACTCACACCCTCTAACCATTGCAGCAGCAGTCGTGACTTTACAAACATTGACGGCCACGACATACAGCTTGTGTTGTGTAAGCATCGATCGATATCTCGCCATAGTTGCAGTATTCCGATATGAAAGCTATGTGACAACCGAAAGATGTTTGCGCTTCATAGGTTTGGTTTGGGTTTGTTCGTTCATTGTACCTTTGCCACGACTGTTTATTACAGAATTTCATGCTCTTCCGGTATTGTGGCTCGTTTCTTACATTGTGGTGTTTATCATACCGTTGTCAGGGATCTCATTTTGTTATTTTCATATCTACAAGACAGCTAAAGCGCAAGTGCGAAGAATTGCTTCCGAACACATCGTAGACAGATGAGAGGCGGTCAAAATTCGTAAAAACCGTAAGGCCACCTGGACAGCGGCTCTAGTCATTGGAGCATGCTTTGTGTTGTGGTTTCCATCCTGTGTTTTGTCTTTTGTTCAAGCTTTAACGTCAGACGAATGTTTAAAACTTCGAATTGACTCTAGCACATGGTTCTGGGTTGATACTCTCGCTTTCGCCAGTTCCGCGTTGAATCCGTGGATTTACTTTCTAAGATCGAGGGAGTTTAAGCAGGCCTTAAGGAGAATTTTAGTTCAGAGTGGGTTGTACTGCGTGATATGCAAATGTAGTGGTACAAGAGATGGCGTCAATACGGTCACTGATGAAGAAACTCGAACAAGAGCTGAGGAAGGTTGAGATAAAATGAATCTTGTGGGTTTCGGTTTCACGACCCATCCCGTTTCTCTGTTACACCCTCGTGAAAAAACGAATTATGTGTTTTCTTTGTTTTCTTTCTAACAAATGTTCAATATTCATTCTCTTTTGCATATTTATGAATACCATGCCAATATCATTAAAAAATTTTTCAAGAATAAATCTCAATAGGAAGTTATGTTGTTGTTTTGAAATCTTTTGTTATTAGCCTTAGCCTAAGGATGTAAATATATATGTTTAAGTATGTATATTTTCTTAACAGAAGATAATCCTTAGTGAAACGTTTTTATTAGATTTGTAAATTTTTATTATTAAGATTTTCAAACTATTTTAACTATGAATTTTGTTTCTTGTATATTATACACGTAATTCAGTCTTCGGACTGCGAGGTGTTTCTTTTTAATAAACGATTTATCTATCCAATAACTCCAACCCTTGAAAATATACCAACAGCTGTTTTCAACTTTAATAGGTGTGCTAAAAGTATCTTTTCACTAGTCCTTATTTTCTCAAATTGGACTTTTGCGAGAGGTAATGCTTTCTAAAAATAAACTCACACGTCTTCTCAACGGAAGAAGCTTTTCTTGCTTTAGTGAAAAAGGTTTTCAATTTGAAAAGAAAAGAAAAGAAGATTTTTAATATAATCAGAGATGGATAATTAGTTTATTTTGGCCAAAAATGCACGTCACCAGTCGAGGGGGATCACTGCCGCAGCGAACTACGTCTCGGTTCTCTGCCGACACAATGAATACGCAGAAGCTGACAATAACGACAAACCCAAAATAGAAGCCAAGAAAGCCAAGAAAATCGCATGTACTGTGGCGATGGTTGTTCTAGTGGTTGCTTTTTAGTCTGTGCCAGTGAGTATTGTCAGCATTCTGCAGATTGGTACCAATGACCTCTGCCGTCGGGGACGTTATAACAGAGCGTGGATTGGTACCAATGACCTCTGCAGTCGGGGACGTTATAACAGAGCGTGGATTGGTACCAATGACCTCTGCCGTCGGGGACGTTATAACAGAGCGTGGATTGGTACCAATGACCTCTGCAGTCGGGGACGTTATAACAGAGCGTGGATTGGTACCAATGACCTCTGCAGTCGGGGACGTTATAACAGAGCGTGGATTGGTACCAATGACCTCTGCAGTCGGGGACGTTATAACAGAGCGTGGATTGGTACCAATGACCTCTGCAGTCGGGGACGTTATAACAGAGCGTGGATTGGTACCAATGACCTCTGCCGTCGGGGACGTTATAACAGAGCGTGGATTTGGTGTGCATCTTTGTTTCTTATAAGCCCTGCAGTGGATCTGTGGATCTAGGCAATGAAACTTGGTGATTTTAGGGTTTCCTTTAAACGAACGTTTCACTTGAACTTTCGAGTGTGAAGGATGCATTCATAGGGAATGAATTTCTTGTCGTTTAAGTGAAGAAACGGCTGTCTCCGCAAAAAAATTTAAAAAAGAATGATTAAAATAAAGAAAGGGGTACTCGCAAACGAGATTTCGTGTCCTCGTTTTTATTTAAAAAATTTCCATTTTCTTAACAAACTATCAATTTTAAAACGGAAACTCCAACCCTTAAAAAGGGGTGATTTCTGAAAATGAAACTGCGATTCATACAGATTTTCTTCAAGAGGTTTCCCAGCTGGCTACAAATTTGATCCTGAATCGCATCATTAAAGAAAATCTCGCATTCTGATTGGTTAACGAAGCGAGGTTTTTAGCGTGGAATTGCAAGTTGAAAACGAGGCTAAGTGATATTGTTTCGCATCTATGTATACATAACAACCATAAATGATGCTGTTTTCTTTTTTGTAATCAATTTATACAATTATGCGATTCAAGGAAAATTCATCACTTGACTTGTGAATTCCACATTAAAATTACACTTGAAAACCACTATCGCACACATCGCTTCGCGATCCGTGCGATATCGGTTTTCGCGTGCAATTTAATGCGGAATTCTCTCGTCAAGTAATGATTTTTCCTATAAAATCACATCGGTTTCAGTAGACTATTGGCCTCAGGTGGCCTATGTTTTGAAATGTAAATGGAGTGTTTGTGGTTCAAGTGCATGTGACATATATGTGACATACACTTTGGCCTCAGGTGGCCTATGTTTTGAAATGTAAATGGAGTGTTTGTGGTTGAAGTGCATGTGACATACATGTACACTCCCCTTTTTAATCCCCTTTTTGAGTTTGTAGCCGATAATTCATCCTTTCATACCTTCTACTGTATCCTTAGTCCTTTGTTTGGAGCCTTAATGATGAACTGATCTGATGCATATGTTTGGGATTTATATAGATTTTGAAGATAACAGTGTAAGTTTTCTTTGACGTATCCTAGATAGAAGCAAAGTAATTTTTTTCCTCTGATTTTACCGGCCAACACCCAGTCAAAATGCCTTTTCCTTTCACCAAACGCATATTAATTATTGATGAACATGCCGTCAAGAATGAGGAACTCGGATATTTTTAGATTGCTTGATAATTAACATCGCTCATTGTTCACTTCATCAGCAGAGTGTTCAGGGAATCAAGAGAAGGTTAATGGAAAGCTTTGTAAAGCATCGAGGGACAGTTCTTTGGATTTTTATCATTAATTTACGACAATATATTGTCAACCAAAGCGACCAACGGAAAATAATATAACAATTTTCAGCTGAAATTCCAGCTCAATCAATATTGTCCCGATTTGATCTTATTAGTTGACACAGTATTCCTACCTATGTATTCCGTACAGAACTGCGTATATTAGACTATTTTAAGTTTTTTTTTCAAACATTTGTTGGGTAGTGTCTTAGTCATCTTCAGCTATATCATAATCCGAAAGATTTCCGACTTCTAAAATCATAAAGTGTAAATACAAGTTACTATTTTTTCCTTAATCAATAAAAAGCGACTCCCACAACAACGAGATTATAATTTAGTGTCTATACGGCCAACAGGGTTTTTATTGTTTTGGTATCTCTTTAACCGGTAAAAAATTATTTTAAAAAAAATTGATTCTGACCCCTCTTCACCCTAAAATCGAGCTTTAAAGTTTCCGCTTCGGCCACGCCCAATGAAGTTGACCGCGTAAGGGAAGATTGGTGATGAGTGACGTCACTCCAGGAGCGTCTCGAGCTTCGTGTTGTTACTTTGCTTGACAAACGCAGTACTTTTACAACACATCTATCGGGCATATTTATGTCGCCGAAAACTCTTTACCTTACTGAAAAAAACAGTGAAATGAACCACTGGCGGGATTTGGCGCGTTCCTGATTTGACGTCACGACCCATTCTGAACCCAATCTCTTTTTTGCCCCGACTCACGGTCACCTTCAATGGACGTGGCCAAAGCGGGAAGTTTAAAGCTCAATTTCAGGGCGAAGACTCGTCAGAATCCAGTTTTTATTTAAGAATACGTTTTTACATGTTAAATACATACCAAAATTATAAAAACCCTGTTGGCCGTATAGACACTAAGGAAACGGCTTGAAATTGAAGCACGCAAATTCACCTCTAAAAAAAATATCCTGATTAAAAGATAAACAGTTCTTATTCATTTGCGTTGAAAATACGAAGAAACAACATGAACTTGTATCGAGCTATATATCTTCCTCTATAGCCGATATGCACACAATATTTTGAAACTGAAGGTTGTAGCGGCCCTCAATTTAGGAAGAGTAATGTGCGCAACTTCATCACATTCTTAAAGGAGGATTATCCATTTTAGTTTCAGTCTCGCTTGTAACTATTATGCATTAAAAGTATCTTCTGGTCGCTTCGACTACAGTAAACCAGGAAGCAGTAAAACTCATTTATTCCTCCTGATCATCTGCCTGATTAGGCACAGGTTGGTAGGATGAAATTGGATCTCCACTATTTTTTTGTCTTCCTGACCATTGCAAACCAAGAAACAGCAGTAAAATCAGGGCAAGGAAAAACGCAAACACCCTATATGCAGCACGCATTCCTATTGAGCTCACCAGCAAACCACCTAGGATGGTGCCCCCTCCAATTCCAACGCCAACAAAGAGTCCGTTTAGGATCCCTGAGGGAATAAAATTGTATCTCGTAAATTTATTCTGAATAAAGGCCGACGAAGGAGTAAAATAATTCGCTCTCTCTGCCAGCCCGGTCACCTTCCGTTGATTTATACTTTAGAAGTTGCATTTTGCAGGGGCACTCATGATGGTAGAGGCGAGTTAGAATTTTTTAGGGTCGATTTATTACAAGGGAGGAAAACCGGATGAAAACTCTTGGGGTAGGGACAAAAACAAACAACTCCTTTCAGACACACTAAAGTCAATCGAAACGAGAAGAAAAACAGAATTAATCAACAAGAATTAAGGGTAAACATACGCGAGCGACTTTACGAGTTGGAAAACGCGACTAACAAGGAACGTTTTAGCTTTTGTGCGCAGGAGTTTTAGTCTTATCGAAGATTATGAACTGCGATCCTGAAGAGCTTTCGACTCTTAAAATGAATTTGTCGATCTTTGAGATCATAGTTACCTTGAGCAGCGGCTCCAATTGCGAGAGGAGAGGCGATGGATCCAATATAAGCCACACAAGCAGTCCAGAACACAGCAAACACTCCTCCAATGGCAACGTAGTACACAATTGCGACCCATGGGCTTTGAGCAAAGGAAAAGCAGATAAACAAGATTATGTACGAAGCAACTCCTCCGGCAATTGTCATGAAATAACCAAAACGTTCCAGCATGTAGTTTGCGAGGAAGAAGCACAGTGCGCTGAAGACGAAGTGCAAGGATGCAGCTAAACCAACTTCGAAGGAAGTCGCTTTGAGGTCGTCAAGGAACCACGAATTGAAATCCGCCTGAAATCCATCTCTTATTCCAAGGGCAATCGCTGCCAACCAAAATGAGAATTTTTCACGAGAATCAAATAAATCTTTTATCACCGTTAAGGATAACTCCTTTTGTCCTTCGGAATAGACGATTTCCACCAAGACGAGGAAAATCATTGTAAGGACCATGAAAGCGACGAAAAAGTAGAAGGCGATAGAGTAACGTTTTTGTATTTCGCCACAGTACTCGTAGGTGTAGTGATTTATTACAAGGCCAACGATTAAATTACTTACCACCATTCCTACTGAACCCCATGTTCGCAGGCGGCCGTAGGATTTTCTCTCGTCGCCGAGGTAGTCCACGGTACAGCCGTCCAAAAGCGGGTGAAGGATTGAGCCGAATATCTCCCCAACGACCACGATAACGAGAAGTATGTAAAACAAGTTCCACAGCTCTGCTTTGTTTACTTGTATTATGTAACTAACAGCTGGTGTTAGCGTACCTGTATGCGTTAAATCGGTGGGCAAAGTGTTATTTAAGTCGATGGAATTTTCTCGAGAATCCACCGAAATGTCTCTCTCGACGAGATGGGATGTGCCTCCAGCGATTGCAACACAATCTCGGTGACTCGAAGGAACGGCCAAAATTAACATATTCTTGGCCAGCCAAGCCGTAGCTCCGATAAGGAGAATGGCTCTCCGTCGTTTGTATTTGTCGGCAAGGACTCCCCAAAATGGTGCCCCTATGGCTTGACAAAGAGGGCGCACACCGATAAGAATTCCTGTTTGAGCAGCAGACAAACCCAATTGCTTGAAATACAACGGAAGGAAAGTCATTAGACAACCAAAAGCGCCATACGAAGCGAAGAACACAACTTTGTAATAAAATATCTCAAGCGTGCATCCAAACATCTTAAAACGTTCGCGAAAGCTGGATTTTCCTTTTGTTTCCTCGGAGGCTTTTCTTTCTTGAGGATCCTCTTCCATTATGGCCACGTGGGTATTCGATTTGTCTTCTCTCCGTAATGCTGTTGCTTAATACTTTCAACCACAGTCAGCGAATGGTGTAAATAAAACAATATTATGTAAAGGATTTATAAATGAAATTGCAAATTCACGATCAAACTTGTTGATTTACATCCTTTGAACAGCTTAAATGATCTCATTAGAAAAGGGACCGGTGAATTGCGTTGATTGTATTGCGTTGCTCTTAATAGTTACTTTCCAACTGTCATCATTAAATGAAATAAAAAAAAATTGTCTATTGGACTTGGTACTTCAAGGTGAAGAACGAAATAAAACAGGTTTACATCGTTCCAAACGAATTATTTATTCATTGATTCATAATTAAAATTCCCCCTATTTTTTAAAATAAGACTTAGGCTTGCTGTTTTAAAAGAAATTTATGTTTGTATCTAATTGATTAAACGGAATTTACAGGAGGCACAACTAATGAAACCAAGTTTATCGAGCCATCAATAGCTCGCACATGCAAGATTGTTTCGGTCAGGCACTACTCCTGGGTTCTTAGCTGAGATGGGGGCTGTGGTAATAAACATGTATCCGTTCTTAAAAACTTAACACAATGGGTATTTCATTGGCAATGAAAGATACTACGTGACTACCGATTAAATTCACGTACCTTCACTGCCGCAAATGTTGTGCATAAGCCATAAGACGTAGATTAACTTTGTTATTATCAGTCCATTTTTGTTTAGCAGTGAAATTGAAACAATAGCGCATGTGTAGGTGAAAATGTTTTGCGTTGTTTTAAAAGCTTTCTAATGTGGTCGAGGGTTGAGTTTATGAGCTTAGTTTTTTCTCAAAATCTGCTAAGTTTTTTTTACGGTTTTTTCAATTTTCACTCATTCTGACCTCAATATACTTGATACCAGCTCTTTCTCATTCCTCCGATTTATACGCTTCAAGAGCAAGTCCTTGGCTTAGCATCAACTGCTCACTGTATCTAACCTTTTTATGAATTTCAAAGCCATACCAACGAGTAATGATGCAGTCACTCCATTTCAGATCCAGCTTTAACGTGATGAAAAACTATTCTGGGTACGAATTTTGCCGTGAATTGGAAGCGCTCCTATCTAAACCCTTTATGTTACTGCCGGACTTACATACATACATAATCTCGTGCGTGGGAAATTAACGTCTTCTACCCCTAACCCTACGGGACCCTAAGGTTTATTCGTCCTTATCCGAGAAGACTAGAATCTCTATCCATTTCTTGATATTACAGAAAGGCAGCAAATTATGAATTTGTCTCCATCCGACAGACCGAGTTTGAGGTCACTGTTAGTCGTCCGCCGATAAGTTGCGTTAACTGCTATAGCCATCTCAACGGTCAACGGAGTTCCTTCCGTCAACACACCCTCAGCCAACAAAGCAACTTTGAAAAGAGCTGCATTCCATAAACTGCCTGCGTTGAATGTTCATCTGGTCAGCAGTTGCAGAATCGAAGCTGTTGCTTTTAATAAAAGAAGCATGGGCCTGAAGCCATGAAGGTGTCATGTTCAAATGCAGGCTCTGAAATGCTAGCTGTTTGCAACAAATTGGATTAACCAGAATTACTTAACAGTATATTTCACTTCTAAGCCGTGAAACTTGGCATAAAATTCATGAAGATCACATTTTAAAGGACACAATCTGATCCAATCAAACCTTCTTAGGATGGATGTCACTGTACGCTTTCTCCTAGCTGGATATGTAAACCCATGGGTGTGTGTTTCTACTGGCGTCGTTTAATTCACTGAGTAAGTACTTAAACTGGAAGTTGATGTTTTTACATTGCGGAACACTGTAACACTGCTGCACACAGTCACCCAGGCCACTAGTGCTAACGCTTGAAGTTACATATCCTCTGAGATACTTTCCTTTCACAGACCTCAGAGGTTCGCTGCATTTAAGTAACTTGCTTACATCAACAAACAGGATTAGAAACCACAGGACACCTACAATTGCAGTACTTCACCAATGTACCTGAAAAAACGACAGACCGGAATAATTGTTTCATTAAACTAACTGCACTGATTTGCCGTTCATCTTCAGTTTGAATAATTAACAACTATTTACGGAAGCGGAGATGGCCAGTGCTAGATATTTACCAAACCGCCAAGCGGCGAGGTAAACATCCGCCGCTGGCCACCGACACTACAGTGAATAGTTGTTTTAATAAATACCGAAAAAAGTGAGTTGAAGTAGCAAAAAAAGATGACTTTCACTCATTTCTACCTGCGACAATTACAATATCTTCGGTCGTAAATCACGCTCGAGTTGCTCGTACGTGAAAAGTAAAGAATATTCGGAGTTCTGCTTGGCAATCAGAGCGCGCCTTCAACACTCTCCGCTGTTTTAGCATATACTTGGCAATCAGAGCGCGCCTTCAACACTCTCCGCTGTTTTAGTATATACTATCATTGACAACGCAATCCGCAGGTGGAGTTTATAAGTGTTTTCTACAAATATATGTCCTGATGGCCTTATCATTCAATGAACTCAAACTTCCTCGTCAATGATTGATATCTTATCAGTTGTGAATTTCCTGTGATGTTTAGACATGTAAATTTGTTATTGTCAATACATTATACACTTAGGCACCGATAATTTTTTACCGCCTTGGGGAAGGGGGGCTGGGGGATTTTGGTTATATCATACAATTACCTGATCCCTCTATAAGGCTCTGTAACGTTCTTACCCTCCCCTCCCCCCTCATTTGTATTCAATTTACTATGGTCCCCCCCTTCATAATAATAGGGACCTTAAGAAACCACGACGGCGACCGCAACGAGGACGGCAACGAGGACGGCAACGAGGACGTGGAAAAACAAGAGATCTAATTGGCAGAACAATAGCTCAGCACGTGCATTTTGAAACTTTGTACATTTCTTAGCCGTCCTATGCAAAACAACAAC